CTCTACTCTCATCTACATTAGGCCCATGAACTCCTATAAACATCCATCGGAAGCTATCCCCAATGTTTCTAAATGAAAGCGATAGGGAAAATAGCCCTTCGCTAACCTCCTCTACATCAAAAACTCTAGTGTCCCACATCACTAACACTCCTCCTGACGCCCCAGATGATCCTGTATACTGATACCCCACATGCTGTCCCCCCACAGACTACTCACAACAGCCCTCGGAACAACCTCCAACTTAGTTTCTTGTAGACAAACAAGGTCAGCCCTCCATCCCCTTAAGAGATTCCGAACGCCCAATCTTTTCCCAGCATCATTAAGCCCCCTCACATTCCAACTGATAATTTTTGGGATCATTTAAACAATGCATCGCCCCTCCCCATGAGACCTCTTCTTTACTCGCCACCCCTGGCAGCATAATTAACCGAACATTCAAGCCACTTAAGCTCACGGTCACCCTTTCTTCTTGTCTTACCTCCCGATGTACTCATCTCATGTCCCCTCCTGGCCTCCAAATCCTCAAATAATTGCATAAGTGTAATTTCGTACCTATCACATGACACACCTACCATCTTGCCCTTTGGTGATGGAGATCAAGATAGAGATTAAAATAAAGATAGATTTTTTGATTAGGAGTCTTTAATAAGAGATTGATTTAAAATAGATTTTATTAGATTAGATTAGATTTGTTTTGACATTTTAATAGTTATTAGAAGTTTGTTTCATTTTAGATTATTAGTTTATTTTCCCTATAAATAGAGGGGCTTATTCGTTGTAATTGACAACTTGGATATATGAATTAAAGTGATTTTCCTCTTGCTCTCAATTACTCTCTTCTTTGCATCCCTTTCTCTTCTGGTTCCTGATTGTTCGTTAACAAGTTATACGCATCCCGCGTCAATTGGAGAGGACTCTCTAAGTGTATTCTAGGTAAGATCTTGGGTACCTAAAGACTGATGAGGACCTGGATGGATGAGATCCAAGCAAGGTTTAACATTTCTGCTAAAATAAGTATTTGAATCCCTTTTGGATATCAAATTTAGATTTTTCCGAATTATGAATACATTGACAGTTCAAAAGAATAAAAAATCAATGAAATTAACATAACACATCTTCTGAGTAGATTGTTGTCCGGATTACACTTTTTTTGTTTGTCTTTCAATGCTAGAAGATCTTCTTGTTTAACTAACTGATTTTTCACTTGACATGATCCTCAGCCACATTGCGCCATTGTCTTTGTCTGGATAATTAACTCAATTATTGGAAAACCCTTAAGAAGGGAAGATATCATCATTTTGATTTGTCAAGACGGTATATATTGATTGATGTCCATTGTGTAAAAACGAAAATAATGGACTCAATCAAAATTTTCTCTATTTTATGCGTGTCTATGGTTGATTATGACAAGTTTTGGCTGAATGATCTTCCCGTATGTATTTCCGTTAATTTATAGAATATTACAAGGATATACAAGGAAAGATTGTATGCTATACAATCAAAGAAATCCCGGATTATATGCGGGATATAAATGGAAAGTAAATAAAGTAAATATCCTCTAATACCCCCCCTCAAATGGATGCTGGTGAGTCCACAAGCATCAATTTGCTTACAAGAAAGTTATGACGATGGCGAGTCAAGGATTTAGTGAAGATATCGGCAGCCTGTTGAGCACTGGAGACATGGGGAAGAGCAATGATATTGGAATTATAGGCATCTCGGATGTAATGACAGTCCATTTCAATATGTTTGGTGCGTTCATGATACACAGGATTAGCCGCAATCTGAATAGCACTAGTGTTGTCACCATGGAGTGGTGTAGGCCGTGATTGAGAAACACCAAGTTCAGCAAGAAGACTCCGCAACCATACAACCTCAGAACAAACAGCGGACATAGCACGATACTCAGCCTCAGTGGAAGATTTAGAAACACAATCCTGCTTCTTACATTTCCAAGAAATGAGAGCATCACCTAGAAAAATACACCACCCAGTGGTAGAACGACGAGAATCAGGGCAGCCAGCCCAATCAGCATCACTATAAGCGGTGAGCTCAAGAGATGTCCCACAAGGGAAGAACAAACCACGATGAGGAGTCCCAATAAGGTACCGAATAATACGGCGAACAGCTCCCAAATGTAGATGACGAGGAGCATCCATAAATTTGCTGACGGTATGAACTGCGAAGGAAATATCAGGACGGGTGATAGTGAGATAGATAAGACTTCCCACCAACCGACGATATAGAGTAGGGTCCGAAAGAATTTCGCCTTCATCTTTACGATATTTAACATTAAGCTCCAACGGAGTATCAACGGACGAGGCTTCAGATAACTGAGCTAATGCAATCAAGTCTTGAATGTACTTATGTTGATTCAAGAAAATACCGTGCGGTGCAGTATGGACTTCTAATCCAAGGAAGTAAGTAAGATGACCAAGATCTTTCATATGAAAAACCGAGTGAAGGTGCTGCTGAAGTTTTTGAATAAGGATGTGATCAGATCCAGAAATAATAATATCATCCACATATACCAACAAACAAACTATCCCATCCTTACTCTTGTGAAGAAATAGTGATGCATCATACTGACTCTGAGTAAAGGAAAAGTCCAAAAGGGTGCGGCGGAACTTGTCAAACCATGCTCTAGGAGCCTGCTTAAGACCATACAAAGAGCGTCTGAGTTTACAAACAGAATCTGATGAAGGAAGAGGCATACCAGAGGGAAGTTTCATATAGATATCTTCCTTGAGGTCCCCGTGGAGGAACGCGTTCTTCACATCCATTTGATGTAAAGACCAAGACTGGGAAGCAGCAAGTGATAACAAAAGACGTACAGTGGTCATTTTAGCTACCGGAGCAAAAGTCTCATCATAGTCGATTCCATACTCTTGACGGTTACCTAAAGCAACAAGTCGAGCCTTGTAGCGCTCAAGAGAACCATCAGAACGAAGTTTGACAGAATATACCCATTTACTCCCAATGGGTTTCACAGTCGGTGGACATGACACAACATCCCAAGTCTGATTTGCCTCAAGAGCCTCAAGTTCTGCTGTCATCGCCTGTTGCCAACACTCTTGCTCCAAAGCCTGTCTGTAGGAGGAAGGAATGGAAATCGAAGCAAGTGTAGCAGACATAGAGCTATGGGAAGAAAAACCATACCTATCAGGTGGTCGAGGAACACGAAAAGAACGACGAGGGGGGACAGGAGGCGGCAGATCATCCGGTGAAGGATCGGATGTCGTTGGTGGACGATCAGGGAGGTCTGGGAGGATAGTCGTCGGGGAAGAAACTGTGGAACCAGCGGTAGATGCAACATCCCTGCGAGTGTAAACACACCCCGGCTTGTACCGGGAAAATTCTGTAGGAAAATCAGGTAAGACAGAAAACATAGGGGAAACCTCAACGTCGGATGGAAAGAAGGATTGCTTCTCAAAAAAAATAACATTACGAGAAATCCGGATACGTTGTGTCGTAGGGTCATAACAGAGATACCCTTTTTGGGTTCCACCATATCCTAAAAATGCACACTTGACAGATTGAGGGGTAAGCTTAGTCCTTTCATGAGATGGTAAGTGAACAAAACACACACAGCCAAAAGGACGCAGATGGGAATATGTGGGATGGTGACCAAATAGCTTATAAAACGGAGAAACATTATTAAGAGTGGGAGAAGGTAACCGATTTATGAGATGTGCAGCGGTAGATAATGCTTCACACCAAAAACGAGATGGAACACAAGAGTCAATCAGCAAAGCTCGTACCATATCAAGAAGATGACGGTTTTTGCGTTCTGCGACCCCGTTTTGTTGAGGAGTAGAAGGACAAGATCGCTGAGAGATAATACCTTTCGTTTGTAAAAAAGATTGAAACGCATTTGACATATACTCACCCCCAGAATCAGATCGAAAGATTTTAATTGTGGAGGAAAATTGAGTTTCAATAAAAGCAAGAAACGTTTGAAAGACAGAAAACACCTCACTCTTAGTATGAAGAAAATAAACCCAGGTGAATCGACTATAATCATCGATAAACGTAACAAAGTATTTATAATGAGCATGAGAAACCACAGGTGCAATACCCCATACATCACTATGAACAATATCGAAAATATGCAAAGCACGAGAACCCTGGGATGGAAATGGCAAAACTTTACTTTTAGCAAGTTTACAAGATGCACAATCAAGTGAGACAGATGAAACCGAAGCAGAATTCTTATTACCAAGTAAACCAGAATGGAACAAATGTTGTAACACATTAGAATTGGGATGTCCCAATTTCTTATGCCAAGCAATTGTATCTAAATTAGCAGAATTACAAAAAATGGGAAAAAATGAAACAGGCTTTGGTGAAATAGGAAACAGACGTCCCTCCTTAGGCCCCCTCATGATCGTCCTCCCGGACACCTGATCCTGCACATGACAACCAGAAGCAGAAAAAGAGACATTGCAGTTGTTATCAACAAGTTGGCCAACAGATAGAAGATTAGTGGATAAATTTGGAGAGACTAAAACATTAGGCAAATCAGGTGATATATCGCCGACAACTGAGATAGGAAGTGCGTTACCATCAGCAGTGTGGATTGTAAGAGGTCCATTATATGGTCTAAGGTTACTAAGCAATTGAGGATCATGAGTCATATGGTTAGAAGCACCTGAGTCTAATAACCAAGAAGAACGAGCAGTTTGAGAATTACCTGAGATACCTAATGCAGACAATGCAGAGACAACCATTTGTTGAATCATCTCAGGAGTGATGGGAGTTTGAGAGGAACTAGAAGAGGCTGGAGCTCGAGTGGGAGCGGATGGCGGAGCCGAACCAGAGGTTAAAGTGGCAGCAGCAACATAACTTGCTCCAATCTTGCGTGGAGGACGAGTGGGACACTCTCTAATGACATGGTGAAAAATATGTATAGGCCGCCAAAATAAAATCAACCCAATGCTACCCAACCCAACAAAGTAGCCCAACAAGTAGTCCAACAAAGGTTCACTGAAGAATTAAAATGCCCAACCCCAATAAAATTTCTCAAGGTACAACTAAATTAAATAATCCAACCCACTGGCCCAACAGAGTCAATTCGGCCCAAAACAAAAACACAAATTGGCCAACAAAAAAACGCACTCACACTGGCGACACAGGCGGGAAGAAGAAACGCGAACGGAACTGCCCACGAAGAAAACTGAAATTCAACCCAAAATCAAGACTCGAATAGCCTGAAATTCGAAGAAAACACTTGACAACGAGAACGCTTGAGACGCCAGAAAACGTTGACCCCAATCGAGCAGTGAACTGATGCGGCGCAGAAGGCTCCGACTCCAATTTCACAGCGAACAGATGCGTGAAACACAACCCACAGCCGTCGATTACTATGATCAAAAAAAGGATTACAGCATGGCAGAAAATCGCCTGAGATCCTGACCTCCGAAAACTATGAACAGAGAGCCACCACACACGCACGAGTAAGTAATTTTAGGGCTCTGATACCATGACAAGTTTTGGCTGAATGATCTTCCCGTATGTATTTCCGTTAATTTATAGAATATTACAAGGATATACAAGGAAAGATTGTATGCTATACAATCAAAGAAATCCCGGATTATATGCGGGATATAAATGGAAAGTAAATAAAGTAAATATCCTCTAATAGATTACTATGATTACTAATCATTGTTGACTTATTCCATAGGCTGCTATCCAAATCTTCTGTTCTGCAGCAAATTTCATAAATTCTTCTATAACCTTTTCTTCAAATATATTGCATAATTATTAAAGTTCAGAAATCTTATATATTTAAGCTGCATATTAATCCTAGTGCAAATTGTGTCTCTTTTCAAGCTATTCTACTTTTAACAGTTTCAAATATGGAAATGTGTCTGCATGCATTCACTGTCTCATGTGCACGTGCAGCATCTGAAACATTCAGTATTTGTTTTCCAGATGCTGGTGTATATGTTCCATTTACTTTTCAAATTCAAGGAACCTGGGACAATTTTGAGACTCCAGAAGAAATTTATTTGCCTTTTGCAATTTGTTGGGCATTGGTTTTGTTTGTGCTTTCATTTCAAAAAGATAAATGAACTGATTGTGATTAAAAATGATTCTTTTTCTTTCAGATCAATCTTGGAATTTTCATAGCGGACAATAAATCTGAATTATCTGTTTTAGTTGATCGGGCAACAGGGGGATCCAGCATTAATGATGGGGAAATTGAATTGATGCTTCATAGGTATGTCAAATGCTTCCAACTCGTTTCCTTTGATCCTTTTGTATAAAGTTCTATGGTTTGACAATTCCTTTACGTAAACATAATTAACTGATTTCAACTATGTATCTACTCAGGCGCATAATAAAAGATGATCTGGGAGGCTTAGTTGAACCCCTTGATGAGATAGTATGTGTGAATAGTACATGTGAAGGATTAATGGTATGAATTGACATCATGAGTTACTCCCTACATTTTCTTTAATGCTTTGGGTTGGATGTTTCCACAGTATCAGAAAGATTTAATGGACAAGCACATTTGAAGCTGTAACCTACTTAAAATGATTAATAGATGAAAAACTAATGACAACGAGCAAGTTATTGACTGGGGAATCTATACTAAAACTAAGAGTCCTTTGATATGAGGGCTTCAATTCATATTTAGTGCAAGTTTGTGAAGTGATTATATCGGTTCAAATTATAAAGAGATAGAACGATATTTTGGCGTCGCAACACATAGATTGGGTGTTGCCGGTATGGAGGATATGTTAAATGCATGGAGGAGAAAGTTTCGAGATAAGGATATCAAACTTATATGGACCTTATTCCGGGTTGCATCGTCCGGTGTGTGTGGAGAGAAAGAAACAGTCGCTGCTTTGAAGACAAATCACGGACAACAGAGCAGGTTTTACTTGACATTGTACTTAGTTTAATGCTGCGGCTATTAGACATATTGATGGGCTGCCTAATTTCATGTTGTTCCTTTCTGATTTAAATTGATAACCTTTCAAAAAAAAAAGGTGTCAAACAAGCACTTAAGTTTGTGTCTCATGTTTGTTAAATCTGAGGAAGATTTTACGATTACCAACGAGAGAGGGCTTATACCGAGACTTCATTCTTTTGTCTATTTCTTTTTCAGGTCCGTGGAAATTATTATATGAGCATCAATGAGCGTGGTACTGGATCCCGTTGGCGCCGGACAACTGGTCAAGAAATTTATTCACCCCTCCTTTTAGCCTTTTCGCATGAGGTAAGTTTAGGTCTTGTTGACAAAGGATCAAATATCAAATTCTGTTAGCTAATAATTTAGCATTTGTTGTTGTAGAGTGCTGAAAACTGGATATCTTCACATTTGACAAAGGCGACAGCAATGGATCCAAATTATAGTTTACCTCTTAATGTTGCATTAATTACATTACAGGTGGTTGCTTAAATGCCCTATAATGTTGTGAATTATTTCTCCCCTCTGATCTTTTCCTGAAATTTATATTTCAGGAGTTGGTTGAAGGAAGTGTGCTCCTCCGTTTAGCACATCTATATGAGGTGATGTCCATCTTTCTTGTGGTCCTCTTTTAATTTCTGAATATTGAATATATTAAACTGGAACTTGGAAATAGTATCTCGACTATACTTTTTGAAAGTAATCTATTTAACATTCTATATTATTTGTCACATGAACAATGTCGTAGGCTGGTGAAGATGCGAAGTATTCATTGCTTGCAAAAGTTGAACTGAAGAAGATGTTCGCTAGAAAAACGGTATGTATGCTCTGCAAGTGTTACATTTTCTTTAATGCGGGATTTCATCCAATGACAAGGGGTAAAGGTTTTTTTAAATCTTTTGTTTCCCGGTCTATTTTTGTCACGGGTAATGACATCAGAATACTTTCTTGGAAATTTGTGCATCAAGAGCATTACAATCTGTAAGTATTATAAATCTAATTAATTCCATAATGACATTTGATACAAAGGTATAGGAGTAAAATAATATTCATCCAAGAATCTATTGAAATTGCTGTTTTAGAACCACTATCATGTAGAATCATGAGCATATGTGATATGTGTTTTGTCCAGTCCCACCTAGACCATGTTTGCTTGAAATGAATAGACAGTACAATGGACAAGATTTTTAGCTTCTTTTCTTCTTTAGTACTGTCCAGTGTTGTACACTCCACCTTATCAAACATTCAATTAAAGTCCTTACTGTCCCTTTGACTGAGTTGGTGAAGGGTACGATGCAAAGGATCAGAAACTGACGTATAGTGTTTGTATTTGGAAATACATGATCTGAAATTTGTCCGAGTCTATATTAAACTTGTTCTTCTAATGCAGATAAAGGCGCTCAAGGAAACAAGCTTATCGGCAAACCAAGATAAGTCTGAAATGAAGAGGATGACTTGGAAAGTTGAAGGTCAAAATGGCAACGACCCGGATCCAATTAGAGGTGGTCCTGTGGACATGTTGACTCTCATTGTCGAGCTCGGTCCAATGGAGATCCGGACTTTCCTCTTGAGATTTTAAAAGGCTGATCCTCTAACCAAAGAAGTCTAATAATCAGTAAGCCATGATGACCTTTTTATCTTATTATTGTTGAATATGATTGGGATTCATGAATATTTGATCTTTCTACATCTAATATAAACCACAAAAGTTCTGGTCAAGGTTGGCCTAATTTTCATTATTCAGATAGTCCTATTCTCAACTAATCCTTGTTTATTTCATTCTTCGATAAGGATGATGATATCATAAAATGCAATTGTACATAAATGGACCATTACCGAAGTTGTTGATAGAATGGTGGTACCCACATCAAGTTGCAATTTTCCCAGTATTTTATGAATCAATGGTTATCCAGTTTATTTTATTCCCATAAATAACGTTTAGATTTCTGCATGGTTATCACTTTCAACATAACATTGTGGAGGCTGATGGAGCTAAAAGTAAGCAAGCAACGTCTCATTCAATCCTAGTATTTATTGATTCTTCCGCTGTACCTCGGATGCATCGACCTACAACTTGCCTGTTAGTGGCCTATACTTTGTCGAAAAGCGAATGAAACAATTTTTTGGTGCTTAGACTACTCATCTCATCTTTTTCACATATAGAATTGTCAAAAATGCCAATTGCACCGAGAGTGCAATTGATTATTGAGAAAAAGCGTGCTACTTGTATGTAAAGTTTGAAGAAAGAGACGACGACGACGACGTGCACTCTTCGACATCTTGTGTGTAAGGAATATTTATTAGGGATGTAAAATGTATGGTTTGAGCGGTTTTTCACATATTTTTTGAACTTAATTAATATAGTGATACCGACATAAATTTTATGAAAATTAGATGGAAGTTTAATTCTAGACTACACTACTGGATATACAAAGTAAGTAACACAAAGCTAAATGTCGACATAGTATTCGTTTAATACTTGGGTATATTGAACTGTATATAATAAAGTTAAATCCTAACGAGCCTCGGTAGTTTTGTTGGTTGGTTAATTGGTCACATTTTATTCATGAAATGGCTTGGATTGGTATTAGTTTGGATACAGCAATATATTCTATTAAATCGAATAAGTACATAATAAAATCACGATAAAGGTCACAATATAATATAAATAATTTATTAGGTACGGTACTTACTAATTAGCATTCGCCTATAATGCTCATTAGATAAATAGATTTAGATGTTATGTATTTAGATGAAGAAATTAGGTCAGATCTTGCAATCACATTAAAAAGATGAAAAATCAGGCAAAAACAATATATATTCCAAAAATCCGGTACTTCTAGAAACCCTAATCAAAACCTCGACTTTCTTTCTCTCCATCACTTTGGGTCCATTTGATAGGCAGACGTGGAAAGAAATTTCAATTCCATGTTAGTTGGAAAATAAAAACCTATCAAACCCATAAAAATTCGTTTCCATGAAAACAAAGAAAATACAATTTAAAGTGGTTGTACTTTAAAATTCGGTTTCCATTTCCACGTTGCAACAAACGGTCAAAGTTGAATTCATTTTCCTCGAATGTGACATTTTTCATGAAATTCGTTGCTGTCAAACGGACCCTTGATAGAAACCCTATATCAGCCCCCATTTTCTCTCTCTATCCACTATCATCATGTACCACCACCATCCTCAAATCCATGTACCACCACCATGTCAATTCTGTACGTCGTGCAGTGCATATGTAAGCATCAAAGAAGAGGAAACAATCACTGCTTCGTGTGTCAGTGTGATTGTTGGTTGACCAGAACCATCGCCGTTACTGATTGGGTAGTGATTGACGGCACACAAAACTTTTAAAAAAAAAAATTACTTTTTGCAAAATCCGTTCTGAAAAAAAGGACTGAAACGAGGGCTTCATTACTTATATGCAGCATGCCTCTATATTTATTTTTTTGTGTGTGAATTTGGAATGGGGAAATGTGAAGAGCTTATCTTGTTGTCGTGTAATTTGATAGCACGTATAGTTGAGACTTTCATCTCGCAATATAAATCGATTAGGAGTAGTCGAACCCTTTTATAAATTTAATATCATCTCAATATGTGATCAATGTGAAATTTTTACTTGCACGTATCTCTAATAATTTTTAAGCAATTTATCTAATTTTCACGGTCCTCACTTTTAGTCCTCTTTCTAATATAGAAGATCAAACGCTCCATTTGTATTTCCATCATGTTTGTTGTATCAACTCCGCATTATCGTTGATGCTCTACAATATCGATGTGGACGTGAAAGTTTTGTCCAATCTTCTAATTAACGTAAGTGTAGCTTTAAATCTAGTAAAAGCAAACTTTTATTTGCACGTCATGATGTCATGTGGGTCCGCTGACCTCACAATTTTTTGGAATTCTTATATTTTCCTTTTTACTTTTTGAAAATTTAAAATTTTATTCCTCCACCCTTTTGAGCACGGTTCAAACTTTTTCTCAGATAACCCGAATTTGAAAATAAATAATTTCTCATTCTTCCCCAATATCTCGAATTAATTTCATTAAAATTTAACTGATATCAGTACTCAACCTGTTGACACCGCCAACAGTCGCAGATATTAGATCAGATCACCTCTATTCTCATCTCAAATCTTAACCTGCTATTAATGTCACGCTATTTCAAAAACCCTATATAACTTACTTTTTGACACAACTAATTTTGTCATTGCAAACGTTTCCAATTAAACTTTAAGACGATAATCTAATCCATTTGCTTTGGTCGCTCAAAATCTTTGTGGTTTATACTTATGTTAACAATAGCCACCCAAGCACTTGGTCTGAATGGGAGATGAGAACCGTGAGATCAACATCCTCCACGCACACGGGTCATTATTTTGTGGCTGAAAAGGCATGTTAATGCGAAATGCACAAATGAATAATTTATTTTAGAATATTAGAGAATTGTTACTTTTTGGTGCCATATCTTATCCCTACACTATTTACATAGCTTATTGTCAATATAATAAGCACAATGTGCCAATTTTTCTGAGACAATGACCCAATTAGCTTTTTTAATGTAGTAGTGAATATGTACATGTACCAAACATTAAATTCTAGTTTCCATTTGTGCAGCATCTCAGCCACATATCGTATCTCTAGTGATTTGCTGGTCCATGTTCCATTTATATCTCACTTTGGCTTGAAAAGGTTTTTAAAACGGCAACCCCGTCAAGTATGGATGTCTTTTCAAAGGCTCGAAAAGGACATACGTCTCGTCACAAATGCAGTTCCTGGTTATGCTACTTACGGTTTTTATAAGAAAGAACATATAATTATAACATTTGGCATCATGAAACTTAGCCTCGCCGATTGATTAAGGTTGATGTTGAGCTATGGCCGGACATTAGTTGCCATTTTGTTTGGTCAAGCGCTAGGTTGCGATCACAATGCCATCCGTGACAAACATAAAATTTTATTACATGTGAAAATTGTGGATCTAATTGTGCAATATTAATTAAAAAGATAGTAATGAATGAAATCAGATGTAGTGATGGATCTAATTTGGTCAAATTGAATAGTTATTTTATTTGTTTGTCATGTCTCCGTAAAATAGTAGTTTGCCAAGAATGTTTGTCTATCTCGATCCGTTAGTCTTGAAGCAATTGACATGAGAATGTTCAGTAAGAGAGTCGGCAAGTTGATAAGTCGAATTAGGGACTGATTTAGCACAAGGAGCATAAAATAGGGACCACTTGTGCAAAATCTCCCCATAAAAGACAATTTTTTGTATTTTAGGGTGTGTTTGATGGATATTATTAAGAAAAGAATGTATTTTAAATAGTGATATGATGTGAAATATATGCTTAAAAAATAAGGAAAATTTATTAATGTGATGAAAAATATTATTTTATTGAACAGTGTGTTGTTGAAAATGAATTTTGAAAGAACATGTGTCAAACAGGGGCCTAGTGTTTATCGTGCAGAAATTTTGAAGTCCCAAAACTTGAACACAACACTGGACTAGTTTTGTAAGGGCTGTCCGTGGGTCGGTTCGGTTCGATTCTGAAGAGACCCGAACATACCCAAAACTTTCGGCTATTTAATAAATTGATCCGTCGGGTCCAAATATAATTATGGAAACGTCGAGGTTCAATTCCGTTCGGTTCGGTTCCGTACCATAATTAAATTTTTTAATATTTTCAGCAACACTACATAAATACAACTAATGACATTTCATTCGTAACTTTTACAAATTAACGTAGCCCAATTCAAAAACATATAAATAACTAGCCGTCCAATAAGATTAATTCAATGCATACAAATACCAAAAAGTAGATATTAATAT